AAGTAGGTACCACATATTCCTGGTATTCGCCAACAATAAATTTTTTTTTATTATCATGAATAGCTAAAATACATTTGATAGGTACGAAAAAATTAACAAATCAATAAATAATTAACAAACTGTATACCAAAGCTCCATTTATAAAACCCACATGCTGTAATCGTATTTGATAATAATGTTTAGGTACGCCATGCGCATATATTTTTTTTGTGTACAAGTAGGTATAATTTATTTTTATGCGATTCGTTTACAGGGAAATAATTGCGTAAATAATACAATAATACAATAAGTGATTTTTATGGTTCAATTTATGATTATGACATATTACATGGATTTGACTTCTTAGAAGCTGTAAGAAAATAATTACTTTTCATTTGATTACATTTCAAATACAAATRGAAATAGCATCATTTCTGCAGACTTTATATAACGAATGAAAAATATTTTTATAAATATAATATAAATCCAAGAGGACTTCTTTGACAACCTAACAGAAAAATATAAATTAAAGTCYGTATGATATATTATTCGAGAAAACTATTTTTTAAATCAACGTCTTTGTAKATTATTAATAWTAACTTGTTTCGACTAATACTTTTTTCTAAGAAAAAAGACTCGCTTCATAATCATACATGAATTAAATACAATATGTACAACGAAAGAAGTAGAAGTAATCATATAATAGAAGACAAACTTAATAAACATAAAAAATATTTTCCTTGATACGATGTAGATATATAGATAAATAATTTAAATACTATACTGAAGTAAAGTTTATTTTAGATTGAAGAATATATTAGGGTTGTGGAAAATTAAAGAAAGTATAAAGATGAAAGTAATACATAAGTAAATAAAACGACGATTGTCATAATATTTGAAATTGAAAATGATTTTAGGCCATTTTGAAAAGTCTATGAATATTATATTTGTTGATGAAACGTATTTGTAATATTTTATGCATAATGTACCTATTATAATTAGTAATTACATWATATACTCTATTGGTTCACAAAATTAAATAACTTTGATTAAACAAACTTTAATATTTAAAATATCTTCCGATGTATCTAACTTTATAGGAAAAAAATATGCTCTATATATGGTAAATCGTTATAACATATGAATTTAAGCGACAACCCATTTTCCTAGTATAACTGATTCGAAACYAAAGTTTATGACAATTCCCGAGACGAAATCTGAAGTAGATAAAATTCTGTACATCAAATATATAATATATTATATTTCTAAAATGAGAAATCAATACTATTCTCAACTAGTTTCACTAGAAGTTGTCCAGTATAAACTGTAAATATACATCCCGTATTATAGTTTCCATTCGTATAGTCATCGAAAAAACTAAAAACTAATATTCATAATAAGTATTAACTATCGGTTTATTATTTACTTCAGTAAAGGCATCAACTTCAATTAAAAGTTTCGATGTATAATTAGGTATACATTAATATACATAGACACATAGTGATAAGCATTAATAATCATAGAAGTAAATTAACAAAAAAAAAATATCGTATACCTAGTTATAGGTGTGGTAACTGGTTAAATCAGAAAAAAAATATTAAATTTTGTATAGTTTTATGATGACTCAACTGTGGCGCCACAAAACGTATAGCTCATAATATTACGCATCTATACGTATGCAATAAGTATGATGTGTAGGTATGGCGTATAAATACCTACTTTTCCTGATTATCTAAGTAGATAGGTGCCTAGTACAGATGTTTTACCGCGCAGTCATAATAATTTATCCTCCATTAGTCATTTTCCGTATAAAATTGTACGTATACTAGGTACCTACCTACTTATTTCGTWGAACGTACTTAAAGTGAACACATGATYTCACATAAGAAATTTGTCATAATATATTCATTGCATATGGGAAGAGGAGAACTTGTACCTATCGCGGACAGTATTCACTTCATTGATGATATAATATTAAAGTAGATTAAAACAGTATACATACAGTGTGATGAAGGCATTAAATTATATCGTATTATATATTTACCATTCTTCTTAGACGCCATACCGAAATAACGTTATTAATATGTATATATAAATTATTCTTTTTTTCTAAGATACCGAGAAAATGTTAAATGTCATAATTTTGTCTTAATTAAATCTTAGTTTACTCGTATATTAATTAATATAGCATCAATACGTCACTGTTATATTATAAAGCAACATACTATTATATAAAATATTTGAACGCGTTATAATTCAAAGTGAATGCAACCTAAATATAATTTAAATATTTATTCTAAATAATGGACTGCAACAAGTGTAAACTAATCGATAAGATCACTGATATTTCTAATTTAGTTAGGAAACTACACGATACGCACATTTTTGGGTTTTTGAAAATACTCGGTATTAATAAAAACTGGTCCAAAAGATTCACGTAACTCCTAAATAAATAATAATACTATACCTYTAAGAAACTAGACACACGTGGTACTTCAGAACTATATAATYGATATTCCCCTTATAGTTCTTTAGAAAATTGAAATAAACCAATAACGTTTATAAAGAATTTTCTAGCCTTGTTTCAAAAAAGAAAAAWAAWAATAATAATAATAATAATACTATACTATAATAATACGTAATAATAATATGATGACAAATAATTCGATTAGAATCGTATAGAATATTTACCACATCAGACAACAAATCTGAACGACAGACTTACTTATTCTTTTTATTGTAATTTTTTTTATCATATTTTATGTATCTAAATCAAATTAAACGAGCTTTTGATGCGTTTTAATTAAATTTAGCATATACTAAGTATAATAGTTTATGATTAGGTTATGACGATGAAAATAATCAATTGAAAATAATTAATTTTAATTAATATTTCATAATTTAAAAAAAAAATATCCTAGTAAAAGATTAAATATTAGTTCCAATTTTTTTTAAAGCCATTTTAAGGATTATTATCATTGGCATATATATTTCAATAAGTTGGAAGCTAGTAGTTTGAATTTTGATTTATATCAACAATTTACACTAAAAAACGTTGGTTCTTATTCTAAAAATCAGATTGTATCACCATAGCTTGAACACTCCTCAAATGGTATAAAAATTAAAATATTTGTAAATATAGTCTTCTCTTTTGGAACAAGGTATATACTTGAAAATTCTAAAAATTAAATTTAAATACGCACATTATTAACGGAAAATATTAAGGTGATCATGGTCGGTGAATAGTCGTGTATATTTTATAATTTTATCTAGTTAACTTTTTATAATATTATAGAGAGAAAAACTATTGAAAACATATCCGTTTTTAAAATGATGATACAATATAGACAATGATAAAAACCTACGTAACCCGCGTTCACCTATGGTAATGAAATGATCAACAGTGATGAATAATTCTATAAAAATCCAAAGAAATGTTTGACATTTTGTGTTGTAATAAAAAAAACATAAAAAATGAATTAGACCATATACTGATAGTTGTAACTATTATAAGTTGTTCTGACGACTGCAAAGATAGATTATGGTAATTGTCTGAATTTTTCGGGAGAGAAATGAAAAGTTAAATATATTAGTTAAAAAAGAAAATAAATTAAATATTAAACAATTTAAAATTAAATAAATCTGGGAATCTACCTATCAATAGTCGTTGAATAAATGCAATTAAAGTATCATAAAAGTTTTGTCCGGGAGAGAATCTTATTTATATATATTATATAATTGTGTGTATACTGTAAATCTACAAATATGCCTACTTAAAACTCTCTAATCCTTTAGAATTAAACGCAAATAATCCAAAGTGAATAAATATGTTTGTTTTTAAATCCACAATGCTCCGTTAAAAGGATTGGTTACGATGGTGGAAATAAATACAGTCTCCGAGTTCACGTTCGGACATTTACGTATAATCATATTATATAGTTAGCGATCTGTGTCTGTGAATATATATATATATAAAAAAAAAAATGGTTTTAAGGATCTGCATGAAGGCATTATACCTATCACTTCAACATATTATACTTGACAGAAACTTGACTTTATTAGATTTGACTTAAATAATAACAATAATAATCTAACATAATAATATGCGGTTGGGTCGTATATTTAACATAATTTTAAAAGATGTTGCGCGGAGTTTTGGTAATTGATAGAGACATTATGTATATATATAGTTTAGGTTAAGGCTYTTATTCAATTAATTTTATTTCGGTTTTCTATAACCAGCAATGATTTTTCGTATTTTAATCTTARTTATAAGTCGTTTATTTAAATGACAAACGTACGACATGGTATTTAAGATAATTTTCTTTTTATATATATCTTAATTTAAAATTGTTTACATATACTATATACAAATTATAATAAAATTGTAATTTGAAGTATCTACTGACACAAGTATCAGATATTTTCCAAATACAAAGTCGAAATTTCAAATTACACGATAATAAACATATAAATATTAAAGAAATCAAATTTTATCTTTACATTGATTGCATACTAATGAAATAACGACATTAGCATCGATAGGTACAACCAAATAAATGAAATTATGAATATTATGAGTATCCATAAAATGATCCACTATATATTATATATATAAACAGGATTTCAAGTAATAACCAGCAGGCAACAAAACTKCATAAAAGTAAGATCATAATAACTTAAAAACGGTATAGGTAATAAATATGGACAGCAAATTATAAAATGTCAATTTTGAAAAAATCTTTTCTTTTAACGACACTCGGGTGTTCATATTTTTTATAACATTTAAGGACTTCCCAGTGAATAAAATAGGATTACTTGGAATCAACTCTGCCGTATTTAAATTTCGCATATAAAAATCGAAGTACTTTATACGAATACGTGTCTTTAAGCGTATAATATTGTTGAAAATTCCTAAGACCATCATCTCTTGCAATATACGAGTGCATTAAGAATTCAATCGCACTGATATTTATTATAATATATACCTATATTCTAAACACTGCAACAAGATCACTCACCATTCGTCYCTTGGATCGGGCAACGATCTGTGCAGCGATATGAGATCACTAGCGTACTGGTTGAACGCGTTGTTCTTCCAGCCCTCGTCGACGAGCTTCTTGACGTCGGCCGTMAGGTTGGCGGGCAGCACGACCGGTTTGCCCATCTCGCCGTACACTTTCCGGCCGCGTTCCCCGTCATCGTCTCCCCCCTTGTTGGGCTGCGGCAGAACCCCTTGGCCGTTTTGGAGCCCAGCGGCGCCGGACTGTTGCTGGACGATCACCGGAGCGGCCGGTTGCTGTTCMACGCCGCCCTCCAGCGGGAACTCGTCGTCCAGCAACGTGTTGTCGGCGTCCACGTCGTCGGACAGACGCCGCTGCGCGGCCGCGATCGGTTGCTGTTGCTGGTACGAGCCGGCCGCGGATTGGTCGTTGAACGCGGGCGAGATGCGCCTGTCTTCCATGAAGAGCAGCACGGTTACCGTCAGCCAGACGGTGCAGCCGAGCACGAGGCCCTTGAGCAGTGCTGACTTGCGGCGGTACAGGTACGATGCGATTTTCATCGTCGGGCGGTGGTCGTGGTGATTTTCGCGGTGTTGGCGGTGATTGCGGTGCCTCCTCGGCGCTGCTGTAGTTGCGGCGGCGGTTACGAGACGGGCGCCGGCGGTGGTGCGGTCGTCGGGCGCGTTAACGTGTGATGGCGAAGCGCGATACCAGCTATCAGTGGTGGTCGGACGACGACGACAACGACGACGGCAGCGGCGGCGGTAGCCGAGACGTGCGCGGGGTGGTCTGAAGCGACTCCAGCCGCAGTTGTTCCCTCATGACTGGCCTGCGAAAAAAAACAAAAACAAAAACCGTCATGAATACACTCGCACGGATTATTGTAATATTATTATCATGACTCATAAATCACGATAAAACACGTCTTTACTGTTTAATAATCATTATATTACACCGGTAAATAATAATATAATAATAAATGTATATATAAATTTGCAGGTCGCAATATAATAGTTATGTTAACGATATTATTGGATTAATTTCACCACAGAACAATATAAATTAAACGATAAATTAGAATAAGGACTAGCGTTATCTTGGAAAGGTCTATTCAAAATACGTATATAATAAATATATGAATAAGCAGGTTTCGTGTCGGACATTAACAGTTGACGTCGTACAATTTCCTAGCTATAGTCAACAAGCCACCAATTTTCATGCAAAGTCCAACTGACTACATCAATAACATTTAAACAAAATGCTACACATCATATACAATAAGAATAATGAAAAGACCAATCGACTTTTGACTACATTTGGAAATTTCCCAACAACATATTAAGTTTAAATCGATTTTGGCTTAAAACAGCAAATTATATAGAGTGTTTAAAATAATATTCAAACTTATAAAACATGTAATATGTTGACACATTTCAAGTATAATAAATGAAAAAAAAAATGTCCTACGTGTATTTGGAATGGAGATAAAATTCACATTGTGACACATTTAAAAAGTAAAAATATTCGTTATGATTACGACAAATGGGTTTTTTGAACGTCACTATATCTATGCAACTCGCAAATATTATAGAAACAGCTGGTATGCACTATACATCATCATATTGTAAAAGATTTTTGGTTTTAGGACTTTGATGTTACTTAATAATAGTGAATAAGTTCATAATAATCATGTTATGTCAAATGTGGTGTATACATCTTCTTTAATATTTATATAACCGGCCTTTGAACCAAGAATGAATTCGTATAGTTTTCATTTTCAAGCGAATTTTTGGAAAAGGTCTAGTTTTAAACTTTTTTTTTCTATAATCAAAACTAATTTCGAACCATTCGTATGTGATGTTCAGACGTAACGCGCGTTCAAAGACTGGTAGACGCATTTGCAGGGCGGAAGGATCGCTGAGATTTCATTAGGAGTTAATTCAACGGCGTGTACATTTTTGGCCGAGGGACTCGCTACTAATGAGGTTCAAGACGTGATGGAACTTCGTCCCTAAAGGTTTTTTCCCTTTCCCAGTGCAGTATTTCGCAACGTTTTCCGGGATTTCGATGACGTGGAGATATTTCGGTCGGACGCGATGTCCTATTGCTTTCATCGTCACGGTTTATATTATATACATTACATAATGCTCGCCAAACGTAACACAATTTTCCCACGTCGGCTGCAGGGCGTTTTTCTCTGTAGTCCATCAATTCGTAATGATTTCGCGATCGTTTACGTATTCAACCGGCGAACTGCTAAGAACGCCGGACGTATATAATATGTAATACTGCAGGCATTATGTACAGAGTGCGAACGGCAATTTGAAATCGCATTTGAATAAAATAATACACATAGAACATGGTAGACATCATATCAAACCGTTTCTCTGTGCGACTGCTGCAGTACTCGCCCTGTATCATCGATGCGTATAATATTATTACAGGAATAATATGGCATATTGTAAGGTTGGGGTGTAACATTTATAATAATATTATGCGTGATTTACCGTATGCGCCAATTGAGCGAATATGTTGTTGCAATGATATTAAATAAAAAAGCAAAAGCACGTGTCACCGTCCGCATATAAGTGAGTCTCACGTTTATGCGGGATGCATTATTAGCGAAACTGCGCCAGACCGGTGTTACTTTGTCATTATAATTATGTGTATGTGTGTTTTTTTGCGGCAAATTTGTACTCTGGACTGCGAGACAAGATCAATAATAATATAAAATTATAGAAAGCGGATTTGTTCGGTGTAAATCAGTAAATCTTCAGCCCGGTGCCGAAAAACGTAACGCGTGTAAACCGTCTCTGAATCGATAAACGAAACTATTAGCACGTTTACCTGAGGGAAAATTCGCAATAATTTTTGAGCAAAACAATATGCACCGTTAAGCTGCGTAATCCCGATGTATAACCCATACCGACCAGATATATACTTTGGATTACAATACTATTTTATTTCAGAAGGTCCGAAAAAACAAATACAACCAAAGCCGTGTGGCTTAAAAGCTTTAGACACTTATTTGATTTCAGACAAACTTTTATCGAAATCAACCAAAACCAAAAAAAAAAAAAAAAAATTAAAAATATTTATGTTTTGTCTAAAGTTAAACATGTTGGTTATTCTATTATTATTAGTCGTTATTGGTGTGTAGTTAGTAAGTAGCGACAATATAAATTCAAAAAAGTAGTGAATTTAATCTTTACATTCATACATAATACAATGGTTTAAAATATAATAATAAATGTACATTTTTTTAACGCCGTGTGTGATAAAATGATTGTAAAATATTCTTATTAAGAGTTAAGACCAAACAATTTTTTACTGAAAAACACCATGTTTTTACTTTTATTTTTTGTCAGAATTTATTTCCTCTATTATTGCTTTTATATTTTAAATTTGCGTTATATGTTACGGCTAATGAAAAACATTTTCTCAGAATAACGACTGTAAAACTGGCATCTAATGGAAAACATAAGAATAATAGAATTTCTTAGCATACACAGAATAATATTTTTTATAATGTGGCCAATTTTTCAATTTTTATCCCTCATAATTTACGCATATCTAATATATATTTTTATATATACGTACGTCATGCATGCATTAATACTTATTTATACGACATAATATATTATTATGCATATGGGAGACGATTCATTTGACATAAAACACTTGACGTTAAGTTAATCTCATTTTTCAGTATACATATTATTATACAATAGCTATAGTTGAAGAATGATTCGAAAAATATACAAAATTATACCATTTCAAAATTATTTAGTGCATTACTGATACAACAGTATTCCGATTTATGAGTGTCCCAACGAATCCATATTATAACATAATAACCTTCATACTATTATTATGCATGGTTGTAATGCAAGATCAATATTATTATTAGGCACCTATTATATAACATATTATACCTCTCGATATATCATAGATTATATAGATATCAGATATCTATATATAATCTATAATATAAATGTATACAATTATTATGGTATACAACGGGTTTATTTTCTTATACTTATACTCATTATATTTTGATATTTATTCAAGTCTTTGAAAGTATATATTTTCCACCTAGGTAATTTAAAGTTATAWAAAATAGTAWCAATACAATTTATTATTATATACTTTTATGTGTTTTTAAATTTGTTGAATGACATGTATTTTTTCGASTATTCCAATGTATAGAAATTGAATTTTAAATGAGTCATAATTGGTTAAGATCTTTTAAACTTTAGATAAATACCTATAGGTATTTTTTAGTGATTTATAATTATGTATAAAATCATTTTCAAAAATGTTAATAGATTTAAAAATATTTAGTTCTTAGGTTGAAAACAATCATTCTGTATAACTCCCTAACGGATATCCTAATTCGGTTTATCGCACATTATAATGTCACGGTGACAATGCACATTTTCAAAACATTCACTCGTCGTATACATCTAAATCGTCTGCGGTTATTGCTGATCGGCTGCTGCTCCCCACTTTATTGCAGTATAGGTATATTATACATTCTTCGTCATGTATTAAACATTCAGCGAATTGTAGCTCTGCGGCTATTTCATAATACGTGTAGTGCAGTGAGTGACTCGTAAATGGCCAGAAATGATCACATAACAAGTATATTATAGAATATGACCATAGCGACTAGAACATTTATATTATATATTTTTAACGGTTCATCAAATACGTGGTCGACATCAACTCAAACGTGATATAGTGTGTAACGTGTTAAAAAAAAAAAAACAAATTATTAAATTCGTCAAAACACGTACCAAAATCACACGTGGTGACGGATATTTGATATTAGCACCGACGTGTGAATTTAAATCATATTTTAAGCTTAAAAATGATAGTTCGATTTAGCATTATATACCAATACCAATATACCTACACCTACCTATCATAAATAGGTATTCTCAAAGCGTTTAAAACGATGATGAAATTGTTTCGAGACTGTCGTTTCGCGCGAGCACCATTCTATTTTATAATGTGATTGTCTACTCTACAGTACAACATTTGTCTTAATTTATTTTCATCCCACTGAACGCAATGATTTAAACTATCAAAATCGGTCCACTAAACTGCAAGATTTTGGTGTAACAGAATTATTGTTGTATAAAAGACGCCTGCGTGAGCTCGATTGCTCGCTCGCGCGCGCATACACACACACACTTAGATATAATATACCATATATTATATCGGTATATGTGCCTTTAGTAGTCGAATGTCTCGTCGCCACACTGCAATTATACGCGAACAACGTCACACTTTTCTCTTTTACTGTACGAAGCGTACCAAATAATATGCAATATAGGTACATGTATGCATATTTTAAACAATATACTCGTATTATGCACATCAAACAGTATAGTTTGTGATCATTGTTTTGCGTATCACGTCCGTGTGTGTATATTATATATATTATGTACGACCGTGAAAACGGAAAGACCGCGTTTCGAGATGTGCGTAGGTAGCCGGTAGGTTTGCTATATATATATAAGAGTATTATTATTATACATTATATAAGAATTATTACTCGTTCATATACATACT